TTCAAAAATCAAGTACAGCGTGGTTCCTAGGCTGTATATATACTAACTTAGATTTGAGGATTATCCTTTCCATAGGATATGCTAACACATCTTATACAGCGCATCGGGTTGAAGGGGTTAAATAGAGGTTACTTTGGACAAGACTTCCTCTTAGAGCAATTTTTAGAACTCGTAACTACGCGAAGTTAGAGACCAACCTTTCTCCTTGAATAATACTGAGTTTTTGGTGGCTATTGTGGAGGTCTTGACAATCAATGTTGCCCCCCCATATTTAAAATTAACGATTTTTTCTTCCAATCCCTACAATAGCAGTTGAGCCAAATTAGAAATAGAGCGCTTTATTGAGATATGTATTATATTCAGAAAGTGGATGTGTGACATGCCAAAAAACAAGAGAAGTGATTCGCTTGGCAACAGCCAATCAGATGCAGGGAATTAATCGGTTGCTTGTCCCCTGAGTGCGTGCCTGGATCACACGAATTCACTCTTGATTCAGACTCTGCTACTTATTCGCCAGAACCCCGTTGCCCGATTCAACATCTTGGGTCTCTCCATTTTGGCGTCGGCCACACACCTCCTGGGTCTCCTGGCACCTCTTCTACGAGGAGTTGTTGCTCCACGGTAAAGTCCACACCGCCAGACTCTTAAATTGTAACTTTCGATGACCACAAATCAGTCTTTGGCTATTAAATCAGAAGCAGGGCGACCAACTCAAAGTTTTTTCAATTGCTCGTGCCATAGTAAGGACACGTAAATAAATGAAATGGTGCTATCAACTCGATCGGTTAGATGCTTACCACAGAATACAGACCCTACTTATGCAAATAGACGCTATTATTAATAGCGTATCGTGCATGGTATCAATAGGCAATTATGTAATACCATGCACGATACAGTAGACAGCTTCTGGTTTTGATGACTATGTTTACGACGGACAAACAACGTAACGATGTGACTAATCATGCATTGATATACAGTATATCGAATCTATTTTCGTTATTTTGCAATTATCATAAAGTGTTCGAGTCTGATTTCGCTATTTCGCAATTATCATAAAGTTTTTGTACGATAAACTGCATTAAGCGCAAACAACGTTTTTCAAAGGATATTTTCTTGGAGATTTTCTTGTTGATAATGTGCTTTTCCTGGGACACAACGGTAGAACGTGTAGAAAAAAAAATGTTATTGCCAAGTAGACATGAGGTGCCACGCCTTGAAAGCAGCGTCAGCCCCTGGGTCCACAGGGAAAACCCTCTTCCCACATACGCACAAAAGACAGCATCTCTCCGGTTCCGTCCTTGTTTACATTATCACACGAACTGGCGCTACACTTGAGTGTTTTGATACAGGAATGATTACACGATGCTGCGTGAACAACGCAAAATCACATGAATGTTGAGCAGAGTATCAAGAGCTGCCGTACATGTAGGGTTTTCCAATGAAGACCCTACAAGTTAATTCCTTTACGCAATAGGATTGGGGAAAACTTTGTGTCATGCCATGTGGAGAGTCGAAGGAATCGGTGAGCGGGTCGACTTTAATCGAAGGGAGAATGAAATGGATTGAGGTCTGCCTGCTACCCTGCCTAGCTATCACTACAGGACCTTGTCTAAATTAAGGGCATGCTGCACCATCGCGTTTCTTAAATCATAGGATCCTCATGCTTCAGGATATAGTAGTATTCCGTACAGGATACTCCTCCGTTCCCCAACATTATTTAACAAATCAACAACATCTTTTTTTTTAATTGGGACTTGTACATGCTGTACAAAAGTGCCATTGGTTGGGGGATAACTACCGGTACAAGTGTATGCTTACGGTGGACATTTGTAGTAACGAAGTGTGACTAATTTGCATTTTTGTGCGATGATCGTGATACCAAGTACCGGTAGGAGAACATCTGAGTTCTAAACGGTAACTAGACTATTTGGCACCATGAACACAAATACTCTAGCTATTTATATTTTCTCTCCCGCTCTCATCTTTATTTTACAGCATGCGTCTTACAGCACAAAGCAAACGCCTTAATGTAGCACCCGAGCTTTTTAGGGCTGGGATTTAATCAAGAGCTAATGTACGTGTAGATACAGTCTATAAGGCAAAGGATCCAAGATGTGTTGCTGCTGCTTTTCCACGACGATGCAGCGCATTTCAATTAGCTAACTCCTTACACGTACAAGAGTTCACGGAAATCGTTCTTCCATTTTTGAATTCTCTGACATCTCCCAAGTTCCTTTTCTTCTTCATCACAAGCAGGATGCAACTTCGCTACTCCGTTGCTTTGGCAATGGTAGTCATTGGGGCTGCCGACGCGTCCAACATTACCTCGACAAGCGACTTGAATGTATGGTATCCATACTCAGAGTACACCTTCTCTGATGTAACTGGCGCTACCGATCAAAATGCTGTGTACGCTGCACCGTTGTGCTATCCTGAAATCTGTAAAACTCCAGAAGGTGTCAACTCAAAAGTTGATATATTTGTGAAACGTTTACGTGTGACGGTTGCCTACCCCGACACTGCAATAAACGTCTGGCTGCTTCAAGGAGGACCTGGAGCTTCGTCAACTGATCGTAAGTGATTTCGTTTGTACGTCCTCTTCAGATTATTGTGATTGCTTTACTAATATATAAATGAATCCCTGATGTCATAGTGGAGTCCACGATGGTGACTCTTCACTCCGAGTTAAATGGAACTGCGAACGTCTACACGATGGATCACCGAGGTACGGGGCGAAGCACCAGGCTTGATTGTGTTGCGTCACAAGTAACCACGACAGGCTCTCCCTGGGGTGCTGGTATTGATCCGTCGGAAGTGCCAGCATGCGCGAAAGACCTGCATACCAAATATGGTGATCTGGCATCCTTCTCTGTGACCACAGCTGCAACTGACCTCGTAACGTTCATTTCTAAATTCACCAATGGAGCTGCTACCATCGTGTATGGCATCAGCTATGGCACAATGCATGCGGAAAGACTGATGCATCTGTTCCCTCCCGAGGTAACGGGATATGTGCTAGATGGCGTCGTTCCAACTTCTGGCGCTCGTTCTGACGAGTTCTACTATATGACGATGTCGGACACTAGATTTGGTGAAGTGAGCGATGCCTTCTTATCGCTTTGCAACGACGACGTGAACTGCAAGCCCCGCTTGCAGTTGACAACAATCCAAACTCGACTTGTGCTACGTTGGTCAACAGTACAGTTGAAGGCAAGTCAGCATCATTCAGTCTCCGATCTGCACTCGGCACAGCGTT